GGGGGGGGGGGAAGCTCCAGACTCACCAACTGCCGCCAGGTGAGGGGGCGATCCCTGCACTACGTGGGGGGCTCTGCCATGAGACCTCAGAAGCCCCAGCGACCATTGCAGCAGCTGGTGAGTGGGGGCTTTTTTTTAAGAGCCAGGAGCTGCAGCTGGGTGGGGCAGCCATGGGGGGGCTGGGAGAGCAGGCAGGGTCAGGAGGTGCTTAGAGGGGCTGGGGGAGCAGGCAAGGGCTGGGGCCTGGTGGGGGTCCCCCCATGGTCCCCTTCCCCCTCCTCCAGCTTCACCCCCTGCCCCCTACTTACCGTCATGGAGTCCAGGTCCAGCTCCCTGCAGCAGTGAGCAGGGACTGCCTGAATTTCCAAAGCTCTCCAAATCTTTTCCAAATCGATTCGGGCATTTTATTGGTCTTCTTATTCAGAGATTTGGCCACCGAATCTCCTCCAAATTGAAGTAACACCTGAAGCTTCACACAGCCCTAGTGTGTAACAATACTTGTGTTGTAGAATTCAGTATGCAATAAACTTTTATGCTCCTGATACTCCACTTTTTTAATTTCTTGCATGTAGCATTCTTTCTTTGGTCCAAACTGTCAGGTTGTATACAGCCTCTCCCATCACGCCTGGCAGTTTTGTTTGCATTTGTTTGCTTGGTTATTTCTTTTCCCATTTGTTTGTTTTTTCTGCTTTCTAGCTTTTCCTGATGAAAAGCTATGGACACTGGGATACAGATATCAATAATGTAAGCTGAATTTTCCAACAGACTGAAATTTGTTTGTGTCCTTGCAACTCCCTAAATCAATCTAGATAGAGGCGCACTGATTATATATCGGTCACGTATCAGATCGGCACTGATAACAGGAAAATTAACATTATCAGCAATCTGCTTTTTTGGCTGATGCTGTCACTGATAAATGCAGCATGCATGCAGCCAGGAATGCAGCCTGGCAGCTTGGAGAGCAGCGTCCAGCTGGTGTGGGGGGAAGGGACAGATGGAGGCTCCCCACAGTGAGGGAGGGAGTGGGTCGGGGCAGTCGCTGCCCAGGTAGGGCGGTGAATGTGACCCTGGGGCCGGGAGTGGGATGGAGCTGGAAGTGGCTTGTCCAGGGCACGGGGTAGGGGGTGGGGCAGTGAAGGAAGTGGTGGCTCTTTGCCACTGTACGCCCCCCAGAAGAAGGCATGGGGGGCATGTGCCCCTCTGTATTTGTGTGTGGGCTGAGGGTGGGCTTCCTGCTGTGGGCTTGGGGCTAGGGGCTGCATCAGCCTATTCCCGGTGTGGGGGGGAGGGAGGGGATCTGGGCTGGGGCTGCAGTTGGGACAGAGCAGGCTCAGCTGCATAGGGTGGGTGGTGGCAGTACTGCGAGGGGTGGCTCTGGGGAATTTTGGGGTGGCT